AGCTAGGAGAAGTGATGACCCAGCAGGGGTCACTGTGAACTGTGTGCTTTGTAAAAGTGAGTTATAAAAAGGACTAGATAATAAAGTGCACTTTGGAGCAGTTCTCTGAAGCTAGCCTGAGAGGCGTTTCTCCTGAAATCTTACTCCACAGTGGGGAAGCAACTGGCCATTGCTGAACTGCCACAATTTACTCAACACTGTCCCAGATGTTAGGTAAATACGTGGGATGTTCTAAACCTATTGCTTATGTCCGTGTGTGCTTACAGCTAATACATTGTAGCTTCAGAGAAGAGCACGCTTCCTTGTGTTAATCGTTCATCCGCCAGAAGTGCTGTGTTCCCATTGATTTATTCCGGACACCGCCTGGAGTGAAACGGTTAAGTTACCACTGCTGTGGGCAGCGGCGGCCCCAGGCACCAGTGCTCCAAGCCGCGGGGGGCGCCCTGCCAGTCCCTGCGAGGGCGGCAGTCAGGCAGCCTTCGGCGGCGTGGAGGTCTGCCAGTCCCGCGGAATCAGTGGCAATTCGGCGGCGGGTACGCCTAATCCGCGGGACTGGCAGACCTCCCGCAGGCACGCCGCCGAAGGCAGCCTGCCTGCCGTGCTTGGGGTGGCAAAAAAGCTAGAGCCGCCCCTGGCTCTGGGTTCTGAAAACCCTGGGTAACAGACATGGCTACTAACAGGAATCGTCATGGAGATTATAATGACTGAGAGGCAGAGACCAGGAGCCTCGTCTTTTGGCCACGCAGTCCTAAGCAGAGCCTGTGTTTATTAGGAGTCTGCCTGCTCCTCCAGCACCTGGAGACACAACCCCTTGCTTGCAACATCCCAGCCAATTGCTCTGGGGACAACCATGCCACAGCAAGGGAGGAATAAGGCTTCGGCTGATGAATAAACAAGAGGAGAAGGGGAAACAAGGAGACAGGGATTCTACCGGTACTAAAGAATGAGAGAAGAGCCGTGCCGAAAACGTGGGGAGGAGGCTGGGACTCCGCGGTTCCCCTGGCCAAGTTTTTTCTGAATTCTTCCATCATGGGGAGAGGGTTTTGTCCCACCCATGGAAGAAGCAGGAGATTCATGGTAGGGATCCATGTCTGCACAGACATGTGGGCCTCCCTGCCTCCTCCTGGCCCCATACAGCTCCCCTTTGCCTCCTTCAGCAGTACCACCTAAGGAGGTGCCACAGGGCAGATTCACTACAGGATGGCTCCCCCTGCCTCACCCCAGAGAAGCTTCACGACTTTTCTCTGCACGGCCGCTAGTCTCTGCTTCAGACAGGCCCCAGGACTAGAATGGCCGGGTGAGTTACAGGCTTTGGTCTCAGGCACATTGGCACAGCTGTGGAAAGAGAGCTTCCCCAGCACCTGGTCAGGCTCTACCCAAGGCTGGCCAATGGCAATCACCCTTCACCTTCAGGAGCACTAAATACCATGGTCCTGAGTCTCTAGACCAGCTGAGCTGTGCTGGGCCCAAGACCAGAGAGGAGGGACACGGCTCTCCTGATCTTAGGACCAGCCCCAACCCAATTCAACTTACAGGTGCCTGAGGGTTACTGTTGGCCCACGGAGCTCTTCCAGTGAGGATCGTAGGAGCATAAAGACTTCCCGGACACTGTCTTTCTCCCAGGAACACTCCCTTCATGGTGACAGGGAAGCAAGGCGGTGTAGCGCCTCTGTGGCTAGTCACCACACAAGGGTTGCACCTATGAAGCCTCCTGGGACTGAATCAGCTACCAGAGTGGTACACAGGGCCCACGAGGGGTCAAGCTGGCAGCACCAGGGCAGGTGCCACCGAGTGGTTGCTCCAGCGGCACTTCCTGCCTCTTTGCCTGAGTTATGATTTGCCTTTTGAGGGTCACACACCTCCCCTGAGGCAGGAGCACAGGGACAGACATGCCCATAACATTACAGAGACGAGATCCCAGCTGCATCTGCTGCTCTCCTGGCCTCTTTCACGGGTAAGCTAAAGTGGACTATATTGAAACAGGTATGTTTAATAAAAGGGCAAAAACTGGGTCTAAGTGGCAGCCGAGGGAGCTGCTCATGAAGACATGAAACCAGGAAACAGAGCTTAGCACAGGCTCGTGGTCCAGCCCCCAGGCTCATGGTCCAGCCCCCAGGTGCTTGAATAGCTCTCATAGAATCATAGAATATCAGGGTTGGAAGGGACCTCAGGAGGTATCTAGTCCAACCCCCTGCTCAAAGCAGGACCAACCCCAACTAAATCATCCCAGCCAGGGCTTTGTCAAGCCTGACCTTAAAAACCTCTAAGGAAGGAGACTCCACCACCTCCCTACGTAACGCATTCTAGTGCTTCACCACCCTCCTAGTGAAATAGTGTTTCCTAATATCCAACCTAAACCTCCCGCACTGCAACTTGAGACCATTACTCCTTGTTCTGTCATCTGCTACCACTAAGAACAGTCTAGATCCATCCTCTTTGGAACCCCCTTTCAGGTAGTTGAAAGCAGATATCAAATCCCCCCTCATTCTTCTCTTCTGCCGACTAAACAATCCCAGTTCCCTCAGCCTCTCCTCATAAGTCATGTGCTTCAGCCCCCTAGTCATTTTTGTTGCCCTCTGCTGGACTCTTTCCAATTTTTCCACATCCTTCTTGTAGTGTGGGGCCCCAAACTGGACACAGTACTCTAGATGAGGCCTCACCAATGTCAAATAGAGGGGAACGATCATGTCCCTCGATCTGCTGGCAATGCCCCTACTTATACAGCCCAAAATGCCGTTAGCCTTTCACACTGTCGACTCATATCCAGCTTCTCGTCCCCTGTAACCCTTAGGTCCTTTTCTGCAGAACTGTTGCCTAGCCATTCGGTCCCTAGTCTGTAACAGTGCATGGGATTCTTCCGTCCTAAGTGCAGGACTCTGCACTTGTCCTTGTTGAACCTCATCAGGTTTCTTTTGGCCCAATCCTCTAATTTGTCTAGGTCCCTCTGTATCCTATCCCTACCCTCCAGCGTATCTACCACTCCTCCCAGTCACCGGTTGTTATGTGTTGGGTTCCTAGGAACATCTCTTTCACAGACAGTGATCAACCCCAACCTTCATTCTTTCTTCCAAAGGGCCTGCAGTGACAGAGCGAATCCATTTGTCTAATCACAGCCTCTTCAAATATTGGCATTTCAGCTTCAACCAGCGGGCAGGTCGGGCAGCAGAGGGGGAGAGGGTCCTTGAACGGGGGAGGCGAGCTCTGAGGCACTTTACCTAGGAGCCTCTGCCAGAATGTGGGTCCACAACCCCCCTCCTTTGTTAACCCCTTCTTTCCTGCCACCCTCCCTCCCCCTTCTGTTTAACCCCACCCTGCCCTTTCCTTCCCAATGCCCCCAGCCCTACTGCATTTCCTGTGGTGGAAACCATTGCATCAGCCAAGTGCCTGAACCCTGGGCCAACATCGGCCCAAGGAAAAGCCACCCAGAAATCACTTCCAGCCTTCACCCCCATACGCCTAAGGGGTAACAGCTTCCCCCCCCCAAAACACCTCAACAGATACCTGCCAGCCAGACTCTGTTATTAAGTAAATAAAAATCTCAGCACACTTTTCTCAAGAGGGGACGCTCTGGCTTTCAGGCCCAAACCCTCCCCCCTGGTTATGGGTCTTGCAGGTCCTGGGAAATCCTTTCCCTTACCTCTCAGGGCTGGGCGCATGGTTCACAGGGAGCAGCCCCCTGCAGGATTCCCTCTTTTATAAAGCCCAGGTGCTTTCCCTTAAGCCCCTGCTGGCCCGCAGGTAATTAAAGGGCCAGTCTCCATGTGCCCTCTTCTTTACCCACCACGAAATTATGAGAGTGAGCACAAACCCAATCCCCGCCCCCCCACCCCCTTCCCCAGCAGGCTGCCTTTGAGGAAAATAAAAACCCACCTCACCACATGTTCTCTTCCCCGAGAAGGGACAGCCACTGTGAAAATGGGACTTAAATGGCAGCACTGGGAGGCTTTTGATGTCTGTTTTATTTGTGGTGCAAATCCCTGAGGAAACTCAGCTACAGACCGTCAGGGTGCCAGACACCGAGGGCAGCACTGGCTGGGGGGACATTAGCAAAACTTCCCCCCACCCCGTCTAACATACAGTTCTCTGGGTGCTGTGTACAAACAAACAATAGCAGGAACTGGGCCCCAGGAGGCAGCCGTCCCAGCTCTCCCCAGGGGAGTTGAAAGCACGGCCCCATGCGTTACGGAGGCAGTGGGATGCATGACGGATTTTCGGCTCCAAACCCAGGCAAGTCTCTCTTCCATAAGGGAATAGCGGAGCTCTGTCAAGCAGAGAGGTCTGTCTTTATACCAGAGTAGGGCCATTGTGTCCCACTAGAGGGCAGTGACAAACATACACCCAAGCCAGTAGATTGTGTGAGTCCCCCTAGAGCTTTCCCCTAGGTCATCGTTCGTTCTTGAGCTCACACCAAGAGCATCTGGGGTCTCCAGCCAACAATCCATGCCTGAATCCATCCAGAGCCATCAAAGGGTGGCATCTGGATTTGGGCCGACGCACCTGAGAAGCCGAAGGGGCAGCTTCACGAGCCCAGCCAGCCAAGGGCACTGTCATATGGCATGCAAGCAAATCCAGCATTCTTCCAGCAGAGGGCAGCGCTGCAGTCCCTGAAGTCACTACATGGCAGTATCTCATGAAAAGTTTAAAAACATTTAAATAATTCCCCTAAAAAATGTGATTCTCTTGGACCACGATCTTCCATCTTTGGCCTGTTCTCAGCCTTTGGTAGGTCCAGTCTAGGAGAGTGTTGAACAGTAAGATTTCGCTCAAACTGGCCTTGGTAACACAGGGCTTCACCATTTAACCACACATTGAAGGCCTTTCTTTCTTTCTTTCTTGGTTGTCTTCATTCTCTCGACCCTGCTCCAAAGGCAGAAGCAGGATGATATTTTGGGGCCTCTGTGGTCTCCGGAGTCAGTCCATCTCCAGCTATAACAAGCCACTCCCGTCCCTCCCTTTCTGGAGCTGGGGATCAGCTGAGAGGAGAAACGTCCTCGGTCCCTTCATGGGGAGAGATGGGGTCGGAAGGTGCGCGGACGGATCATCATGGTGACTTTCTTCAGGGAGTAGTAATCAGTGTCTTTCCACGTGTACCACACAATGCCGTCTGGCCCCAGGATCTTGCGGTTTTTTGTGGAGTACCTGCCCCCCTGTGACAGAGAGAAGGAGAACGTGAGGCACAGGAGACACTCAGAAGTGGCAGACTAATCATTTGAAACCAGAACCTGCAATGCACTGGGGAGTATATATCTTAGGGACCCCTGCTGCTTCAGCCATGGGGGAGTTGCTGCTCTTTACTAGTGCCAGCAGTGCATCCAGCACTATACAAACACTCCCTGGCATATCTCCCACCAGACACTGAAGGCCTGGAAATTGGCATTCAAGGTTGTACAACCTGGATTGTTTCCACTGGATGATCATTTATTTACAGGATCAGCAATGAAAATACTCAGGGACGAAATCTGCATGAACAGAATTCAGCCGGGATTTCCCTCCCTTCCAGCGGGCACAGGCCCATCTACCCAAGAGAAAGGGTTAGGTTGCCTGGATGCAGAAGAAAGTTCTATTTTCTACTATGTCTGTAGGACTAAAAAAATTAGAATTAGAGTTAGCTTGAGTTGGGTTAAAGAAATATGTATATATGTTGTAGCAAGAGGCCCTGACTAGCAAGTAGAAGGAAGGCCTTAAAAATAATGAATTATAAGGCCAAAAGAAATGAAGTAGGGAGGATGAATCGTTCAAAGACTAGCTGATGAAATAAGGAGAAATGTCTAGAAAGAAGGCCTCTGCCGGATGGGGTGACTGCAGACGGTTTTCAATAAGACAAAGAGAATGTCTCTTCAAAGGAGTCAACATAGACCTTCCCACCCCACATACCGGAGGTATTTCCTATGTGAACCCAGGTGTAATGAAAGAGCTTGCTTGTCAGCCGGAAGGAGGGGAAGCAATAAGGCGAAAAGACTTTGGGAGAAAGAAGGTTGTAAATATTACCTGGATTTAGATGAACTGTCTCGGACTGTTTTTACCTGAAGTCAGTAATTGGCAACGCCATCACGTTTTTGTCAAAGGGTATAAGAAGTAAACTCTTAAAGGGTTCTTTGCTAATTCCTGCCTGACCACGTTGGAGCCGACCAACATGGGTCTAAGCACCGCTGGGTTTAGCCCGTTTGTTAAGTATCTTGATCAAATGCTTATAAATGTTTTTTGTTACTTTTTGGATGTATTGTCACGGAGGTCACGGAATCCGTGGCTTCCCCGGATCTCCGTGACTTCAGCCCTCGGTAGCTAGGAGCTGCAGGGTCCTCCCGCTGCCCACCACGGCTCGGAACTCAGGGGGCCCGGCTGCCCTGCAGCTCCCAGCTGCTGCAGGCGGGGGCGGCCGGGGGGGGTGGGGGAAACGGCAGCTCCCCATTTTGTCACACATATTTTTAGTAACAGTCATGGACAGCTCATGGGCTTCCATGAATTTTTCTTTATTGCCCGTGACCTGTCCTTGACTGTTACTAAAAATATGCGGGACAAAATCTTAGCCTTCCTTATTAGTTAGGCACGTTTTGAGCAATTGTACGTGGTGCAATTGTATCATTTGGCCTTGGGATTTAATAAAGGAATTTATGGTTACATTAGTGTTTGGTGGTTTCTCACATTAATATTAATAACTTCAAATATTACTAATAATTCCAGCAGTGTCTTTCCAGGAAATCAAGGTATCTCGAAGCAATGCGGTAGAGCCCTATAGAGCTGTGGTTGGGCAGGCAAAGAGGAACTGCTATTATATGATGAACAACAGGGTCCATGCAGCCTCCCACATGATGTAGCAATGCCTATGTCCTTACGTGGCCACCGTACCTTGTAGTACACTCCATTGAGGTTGGAGAAGAAGCACTGATGATACCACCAGCCTCCGTGGGAGATCTCGGCACAGATGTTCCCCGTGTCGGGCGTGCTGAAACTCCTCTTGTTGTGGTACCAGGCAAATGAATCCTCTACTGTCCCACTGAAGCCATCCACGTGCAGGCGGTAATCGTTTGCCTCATCCTCAATGCTGCAAACAAGAGGAAACAGGCTGGATTGTCTCCTGGGGGTTTCTATGGCTCCTTTCCAAGCTGGGCATTGCAAACTTTATTCTTGCAGCGCATCCGTCTGCATCCAGTTATCTAGGCTGGGTATGCTCAGTGTAACTGAATCTTGCCAGTTCTGGGCCCAACCCCTTCTCTCCCTTGGGGAAGATGTGATTCAGCCCTGGTTTAATTCAAGTCTACTTCTCAGAGGCTTGGGGTGGGTGGCCTGAGAACCTAAAGCCATGATCAAGGACTCTGGCCCATTGCTGTTTTTGCTGTTCTTTAGGCAGAGTCCCTCTAATAATGTGGTTCTGCTTCTTTGTAGAGCTGTCGCCCTGTTCTTCTCTTCGACTGAGTTGGAATCTCTTGGATTATCCCCTTGGGACCGAGGGGATAGAGTGGGGAATCAACTGCTCAGCAGATTCGTCGGTCTTTTTCTAAGGGTTTTGTGTTTCCAGTTTACCACCAGCTCATTTTAAATATCTCAGCCTCTGGGCTTGTCTAGATGACCCTCCCTGGGAGCTCTGACATGCATAAGCAGAGAACATTGTAAGTTAACTAGGAAAAACCCGCTTTGAGTAGAATTATTGTGAGGACTAACATGCCCTCAACTAGATGGAACTAATGAGAACACCCACAGTTACATCACTGAGGATGGAGGTTTCTAAGGGCTTTGGATCTGGCCTGACACCCCCGTAGGGTGACCAGGTGTCCGGTTTTGGACCGGAACACTTGGTCAAAAAGGGATCCTGGCAGCTCTGGGGTTGGGAAGCAGCCGGCATGTCTGGCTCCTGGCCTTGGGGCGGCCAGGGGGGTTGCGTGCTGCCCCGCCCCCCGCCCGCAGGCGCAGTTCCTATTGGCTGGATCAGGGCAGGGGAGGAACTAGCACGACTCGCGAGCACTCAGCAGGCGGCTGTTGAGGGGTCGCGTGGCACATGCCTCTCCCGCTGCTGCCCGGCCTCTTCTCCTTGCGCTCCTCATGTGGCTGGGCTCGAGCTGCGGCCAACCGCGGTCTGGCTGTCACCCCATTGCTGGCACCCAGGAGTTCCAGGTACGTGTATCCCCATCTCCGAGTGCTGGGAATGGGGCTGCATCCCCATCCCCCGTCACTGCATCCCTCCCTGTCCCACCCCCCACGCCTCCAACCCCCTCACTGCATCCATCCCCCGTCCCATCCTGTCCTGCCCCCCACACCCACCCAACCTCTCCGCCTCCCATTGCCACCACCCCCATGTCCCTCACACTCCACAGCCCTGCACCCCATTCACCTCCACACACTGCTGCACTCCCATTATGTCCCTATGCATTCCTGCGCCCCCCACGTCCTCATGCAGCTGTAGCCTTCTGCCTCTCCCACCCGCCATCCTCTCTCCTTCACTGCCCCCTCTCACCCCCACTCTGTTCTCATCCTTGACCTCTTTCCCTCCCCATCCTCTCTCCTCCACCCCACCCTCCTCTTTTCCTCTCCAGCCCACCCTCCTCCCTTCCCGGCTGGGTGATTTAGGCAGCCCCTGGGAAAGTGTATGAAAAAGTGTCTCTGTGTAGGCAAGTGTGTGCATGCAGGCATTGTATGTGTGTAAGAGACTGTGTGTCTTTGTGTAGGGAGGTGCGTGTATTGCCGCCTGCGTGTATACCTGTGTCAATACAAGTTGCAGCCTAACTCTTTGACTTTTATTCCTTTTGCTGGCTTGTGCACAAATAAAATGGATGACATAAAATATGTGGGTATTCATTTCACAACGAGTTTTTTAAAGAGAAGTGAACTCTAAAAGCAATGTATTCTTTCTGAAAAAGTGTTCTCGACTTGCAGAAGAGCCGACGTCTCTTGCAGAAGAGCCGACGGATCAGACATTTCTCCCCACCTTTGTCTAGCGACATTATAAACTCTTCGTTGCAGAGTCTCTGTTTTTATGTGTATGTCCAGCACCTACCACCCTGGAGCCCTGATCTTAATTGGGGTCTCTAGGCACTAAACAACAATTGTAATATTAAATCATGTGGAAGTACATGTGTTAGTGCATGCTAGATGTGTACACATGGATCCACGTGTGTATCTGCATGCTAGATGTGGGAGTCAGTTTCTACAGATTTATTTATATAGGTATCTGGAGAGGTGCATTTCTGTGGTTGTGCTCTACAGATTTGTATTTGGGCTTCAGGAGTGGGTCTTTAATAGACCCATTGCAGCTGTGATAATGTACGGTCCTAATTCCACACACAAAATTACAGTAACTTTAGTGAAGAAAAAACATGGAGCTGGTTACGAAAAATGGGAAGAGGGGAGGGAAAGAATCATGAAAACCTTTGTGAAATTAATTTTTTTTTAAATTACCCTTTTTGACTATTTTGCTGCCAACTCTAGCGTCCTGTAACAAATAAAACCTGAACTTAGCATAGTACATCTGTCAAAACAAGAAATATGCCTGTTTGGGCCTTGCAGTGAAAATGAGCATGTGAGAGAGGGTGGGGGAGAGCAAGCGACGGAGGGAGGGGGGGTGGAGTGAGCTGAGGGCAGGGCCTTGGGAAGGGGCAGGGGGGGGGCCTAAAGGAGGGGGGGCAGTGGGCAGGGCAGTGGGCGGGGCAAGGGTGGTTCAGTTTTCTGGAATTAGAAAGTTGGCAACCCTACCCACTAAGGTCAAATGGAGTCTTTCCAATGACTCCGATAGACTTTGGATCAGCTCCATGCACCAGAGATGGGTGGACCTGCTACCAAAAAGCATGAGCTGCCTCGTCTTCGGGGCATAAATTAACCCCCAGGGTAATGTCTGCACGGCACTCAGGAGGTGTGATTCCCAGCTTCGGGCATGCACACACTAGCGCTGTTTGAGCTAGTATCTGTCACCGTGCAGCCGTGGCGAGTGGGGCTAGCTACCCGAATTCCAGCCTATCGGACATCCTAGACATGCACTCAGGCAGCTGGCCCTCCTGCAGCCACCCTATTTTCAGGTGCTAGCCCAAGCAGAGCTTGCAATGGAGGCGCCCCCTGGCGAGGGTCAGGTAGAAACTTCCCCTCTGGGCCAGTTATTCCATACTTGTCCACTAGGCGGATTCTTGCCCCTTCCTGGAATGCCTCTGGGGCTGGTCACTATTGGAAACAGGACATCAGCATGGATGGCCCTGGTCTGATCCACGGTGGCAATTGCTGTGTTTCTACAGTATGTTCCTAAGCCAAAATGACACACACCTGACCAGGAAGTGAGGCCTTATCCTCCATGGCACTTGTTATGGGAATCAAGCAAATAGACCAGGAACTAACCAGAACATGGGGCCAATCCCACAAGCCTTCTGGGCCCCAAACTTCCACCGATTCCAGTGGGATTTCCATGCCCAAAGGCCTTGCAGAAGATGGCCCTTTACCTCCAGCAGAAACCCAAGGAAGGGCACCATGCCCTCCTACCTGAAGATCTGGTAGAAGGCATGCTTGTGCTTGTTGTTCCAGTCTTCCAAATCAATGCGGAGCGAGTAGTCCCCTTGGTTCGTCACCTTGTGAATGTTCTCGTTACCCAGCCAGAACTCGCTGTTTAAATCCCCAAAGCCGTCTTTGTACTCGTTCCACGTCCGGGTGAAGTTGACCGAGCCGTCCTGCCGCCGCTGGATGACGGTCCAACCTCCACCTGCCAAGGGGAGAGAGGTGACGCTGGTTTGAGTCTCCGATTAGCGTCCTTAGTGAGGAAGCCAACATCATCCTGAGCCAGAACCTTGACTCAGCTCCACCTTATACTGACACTGGCCGACTGGCCTGCTTGCAGAGATGTCTTCAACTAACTTTGCCCGTTTTCATCCCTTGCCCCCCCCAGTCCCTAGAGAAAAGCTATTCTGCTGGTTCTGCAGCCGAGATAACTCTGCGATGTGTATCAGTGGAGAGGTTTATAGATCACAGAGACTGTGATCTGTCCTACACCAGTTCTGACGGCAACAGAGTTACTGGCATAACCGAGGGCAGAATCAAGCTGATAAATTTAAAGAAAAAATGAATGAAATAGACTGGAGATTCCAGCGTGTTGGTATTGTTATGTATTGGTTGCACAGCACCGCAGATATGCATGTAGCAGAAACCACATTGCATGAAGCATGTGTCTCTTCTAGAGAATCTCGGTGCGGTAGCAGTCCAATCACTGCAGCTTAAAGGAGGGGTCTCCAATGGCTACCAATCAGGGCCAGCTCCAGGCACCAGCTTAACAAGCAGGTGCTTGGGGCGGCCAAGGGAGAGGGGCGGCACCTGCGGCAATTCGGGGGCGGCAGGTCCCTCACTCCCTCTAGGAGCGAAGGACCTGC